GTCTGTTCCAGAAGCTAAAATGTCTTACTGAGAGAGATAGTTCTCAACCAACTACTGAGAGCTTCACACTGTCTCGCAACTGCTAAAGTCACATCTCCACCAAACCCCCCATTAAGTCTTCCTTTAAAGTCCTGTCTAAGGGGTCAGTTGTGAAATCCAGAAAGAGAAAAACACAATAGTCATAATCTCTTCAGTCAGTGAACTCCTTGAATAAAATTTCTAGCTTTCTTGAGCAAACACTCAGGTTTCTGAAAATAATTAGGACACACCTTCCTGCATCTTTCAATGCATAAGTAGCTGTAATACACACATTTAATTTGTCCAAATGTAAACATAGTTATTTGAATGACGACTTAAAACAATTTACAAGATACTGCCCTTTTCCCAGGAATTATGAAACGTGTAACTGTTGAAATTATGTTTTGAAACATTAAGTTTATGCTGCAATTGTTTAATAATAATTAATAATAATTATTAAAGGCCATAAAAGCGGTTAAATTTATTTAGAAAATGAGAGACAAAATAAAATAAAATAAAACTTCCCTCGATGTGTGTCAGAAATAGATGATATATTTTTCTTGTATAGCTGAACTGAAGACATCCACAGTTAATCCCCATCTAGACTACCGCGCTGTGCCAACAATCAGGTGTTTGCCCCAGGCTGGTGGCCATTTTGATGTAAATGAAGCTGTGATTATTTAAATCGCAGCTTCATTTCCCTTTGCTGACTAAACTCATCTACATGGCTCCATCGATGGAGCCATGTAGTCCAGACACACGCTTAGTGACATGAGTGAATACTGGATTGCCCTCTCACTTTGCCCCATAACAAACACCACCACCCTTGCTCATAACGATATAGGTAAAAACATACAATATTGATGCCTCACAAAAGTGGAAGCCATTCTTACCAGATAATTCTGGGATTTGTTTCATTCTCTGTGTAAGAAGAGAGCAGGAAGTGACTGGACTAAAATTACATCCAGATACATTTCTGAAAATTTCTAAAGGAGCTGGACAGGCTTCGGTCACCTAAAACTTCTTTGTAATGTTCATTCAAACCCTTGTAAAGCTGTGCTGATTCTGTATAACAATTCCCTGCCTCATCTTCTTCATTTTTCCTCCCATTTCTGACCCTAGTACCAAATACAGCAGTCTATCTATAAATAGAGGTTACCAATTTCCTTGCTTGGCACTTTCTCCCCAGAGAAAGGACAAGGGGGTGCTGGATGCTTATGTATAAAGCTCTAGGTATAAAGCAAATAATTTAGGAGAAACTGATAAAAGCTGAAATTACTTCACAAATGAGAGAGTTTATGGCTAACTCTTCTCCTAGCTCTTTCTTTTACTCAGTCTAATTCCTCTGTCAGCCAGAGATACCTAGGATTTGACAGATTTTAAGAGCTTAGCTCTAAATTCTTGTCAATTTTTGTAAATATATGACACTATTAAAATTAACTACACATTTGGCTCCTTAGAAGTCAATGGGGCTGTGTCTACATTAGTGCGATCTTGCGCAAAAGCTGATGTTATTTTAAGAGCTTAGCTCTAAATTCTTGTCAATTTTTGTAAATATATGACACTATTAAAATTAACTACAAATTTTCTGTTTCATTGTCATAGCTGAAAGTTCACTGCCTGTAGGAAGTTACTGTCTTGGTTGAAATTTGGCTCCTTAGAAGTCAATGGGGCTGTGTGTTCTTCTGCAAAAACACTAACATTCTCTCTTCTGATGCTCTCTTCTGGCAGAGTTTTTGCAAAAGAATTTTTGTGCAAAATCATGCCAGTGTAGATGTAGCCCCATGGGAGTCTTGTCATAGAATCTCATTGGGCCAGGATTACAGGTTGTGTCAAATGATTCTCTTCAGCCTATAGCAAAGAATTCTCCTTGGCCTGGTAAAAAACTGACAGAAGGGAAGAGAAATAGATTCACGGGGCCATCGGGTTTTGCAGGGGCCATGGTTCACAAAGGAATTCAGGGAACAATTCACCTTCAACAGTGACTTGGAAGCAAACTGTGTGTTTACAGGTCATGTACCTTTTTACACAATGTTGATTCTTATTTTTAAGGATAGGAAAGGGTCTGATTCAGTGGTTCCATTTCAGCCAGCTGGAATCAGAAAGGAATCCGGGGTGGGGTTATGCCCTGTGATGGGGTGAGTCCCCTCCACATTAGGCGGGAAGGGATTAACCCAGCCGGGAGGGTAGAGGAGGCTATGCCCCGTGTAGCTTCCTGGGCATGCTCCAGCTGCTCTGGAATAAAAGAATAAAAGAAGGCGACACAGGGTAGTTGGGGTGGACCACCAGAGAGGAAGGAGTTGGGGTTGGAGCTCCTGATCAGCTATTACCGCAGCCCCAGGAGGAGCAGTCCCTGCCACAGCCGCAGCGACAGTCCCGGCCCGGAAGGTCTGTTCCGAGGCCCTAACTCTCTGAGCCAGGCTCTGAAACTGGAACAATACCCAGGGACAGTAGGAAGGAGCCCAGGATGGGGGAGTGACCTCCAGGAGCTCAGCACGCTTCTGGGGGAGTCCCCACTGAGCAGGCATTGTACGCTATCACCGCCAACCGGGACCTAGGTGATAGTGCACCTAGGAATGGGAGGATCTGGGCCCACTACTGCCCCCACCTCACAGAAACCCAGCTCCCAGGGATGCCTACTAGTGAGCAAGGCTTTCAAGGGCATCCGTACCCTGAGGAGGGAGCAGAGTTTGTGACTAGACCAGAGAAGCCATATATACCCTAATAGGGACCAGGTTTGTGACTAGGCCAGAGAGACTGTATATACCCTAACAGGGGCACCAGATTTGTGACTAGGCTAAAGAGCCATATATACCCTAGGGGGGGACCAGATTTATGACTAGGCCAGAGAGGCTGAATATACCCTGATAGGGGGACCAGATGTGTGACTAGGTCCGAGAGGCTATATACACCTTAATAGGGGAGGACCAGATTTGTGACTGTGTCTGACAGTCATTTATACCCTAATGAGGGCGAATTAATGTGGTGACTCGGCCAGAGAGGCCGTAATGACCCTAATAGAAGGGAATCAGATTTGAGATTAAAGCCTGCAAGAGCAAACTAACCTTAACACCAGGAGCTGCACTTAGTGAGCGACAACAAGGAGTGTCCTGGGTACTAGCACATCCAGTGATATGCCCACTCTGTTGCTTAGATCTGCTAGGTATTGAACTGCTGTTATGTACGTACAGTTCACACTGGAATGGGAAGGAAATCCTGGGTGTGGTTGTGTAAATAGAGTTCACTCAGTTGCTTAGGCCTGCTAGATATGCAATCGTTAGAATGGTATTTTGCCTACGGTAACCAATTTGGCTGTTGTGGGGTCATGCAGCATGTTAACCACAAATACGGGAATTGTAAAATGTGACCAGCAATGATTGCAGTTATTGGGAATGCAGAAAAGTCAGACTGTATTTACCTCAGTTTAAAGTAGAGCCAATGTCATTGTAATGAATCTGGGATGGACAAGGCTTTCTCTTCCAAACCAAGTCAAGTAGGGGGAAGGTCAGAGCTCTGAACCATCAGGGTGCTTGACCTCCAGGCATGAGCTGTAAGACTAGTTTCTCTCCCACCACCATTGTAATGATAGAACTAAAAGAGATTCCATCAGGAGTCTCTTTATTAGTTTAAAATCTTATTATGGTGGAAGCTGTAATCTTTTGGCTATGCTCTGTGCCAGGAGCTGAAATCACTGAGAAGCTGACATCACAGAGAGCTGAAATCACTAAGATTGTCCCACATCCAAAACCATCACAAAGCTTGTCGGCGGAAACAGCGACAGGCAGGTGACAGGAGCATTTGTCTGGCAGGAGCAGGAGCACGCAGCCAGCGGAAGCAGCATGTAGGAGAGATTGCCACATGCTCAATGAGTGGAGACATCAGGATGACATAGCTATGGACTCTGGGTCTACAAACAGGACAGAGCTGTGAAATGGGGAGAAACCACACTAAATGAGATAGGGGTTGTACTAAAGATCTTCAAGCAAAAGACACTGCCATGCAGACTTTAGTGATCGTACTTTGCTTAGGTTGGAATTTTCCCAGCTTACTGAGTGAGGGCTCGAGCTGTTTTAGTGATCTTCTAGAAAGAACTTCCCTAGACACTGAAGCCGGCCCTTCTGGCTGCAGACTGCTACCGGCAGGAGAGTTACGTAAGTGACTGGGGTTTTTTAAAAAATGTTTCCCGTTCATATGCTCCAGTCTCATTGCAGAGACATTGCAAATCTTTAAAAATGACAGGATGACTTCCCAGGATGGCAGCTATTGTGAGTGTGGGCTGGGGGTTTTGTGTGCTCTATAGGAACTGGGGCCTGCTGAGACTGTTGGGCTGGACACGGAGAGAAGGGCTCTGTCAGCCTGGGGAGTCCTGGGGAAGTGGAGAGAAGGCCCCTCCTGGCAGGAGTTATTGGAGGACAGGGAGAGTGGCACTGTCACCCAGCCGGGAGGTTCAGGGGGAGAGAGAGAACCGCTGCCAGACACAGGTGGCCAGAGGGGAGAGAAAAGGCCAGCGCTGGCTGCGGAGGGCTGAGGGGAAACAGAAGTTCCTTGCAAGAAAAGGGGAGGTGGGGATGGAGGAGAAAAGTCCCCCCACAGCAGACCCCCACCTTACTCTGAGCCCACGTAATCCTCCATACATTGACTCTCATATGTCCCCCCACCGATTGCCCCCGTCTCAGATTCCGAAGGCTCTGCCATGACTACTACATGTCCTCACCACCAGCCCTAAGCCCTGAAGCACGTGGCCAACACTGGAAGTTTGCCTGAAGCATTTGGGATTTGTGCTGCCATTCTGATTCCTGCGCTGGAACCTGACTTGCTGACACACGTCCCTGTCTGGAGGATCATGTAGAAAAAAGGGGCCCACATGATGGGGAGGTTTGGGAGGCGAGGGGAGCAGAGAGAGGACAAGCCTGCTCTTGAGCACTGCCAAGGGCTGTCAATCAGTCAAAGCACTCTCACACACACACACATTTGGGCTACAACCTGCTACTTTTATTAAAAGGAGAAGATGAAATTATTAGAGGTGACACAAGGACTCCCTTGTGAATTTTTAGACGTGCGAAATTCTTTGCAGCCCATAAGAAAAGTGTCCAATGACGTTAGAAGCCAGGCGTCCTCTGCCAGATACCCAGACATCCTGCATTAACAATATCTGCTGCTAACGCTCACGGTGCAAACTACAAAAAAGAAAGAAACTTTCACACTCTGGCTTTACATACACTAAAACAAGAACAAGAGAAAATTGCATTTGAAATGCATTGTGGAGTAGGTATTTCCCCCTAGAGAACGGTGAGTGCAGATACCTCTGGCTAATGCCAGAGCAGGGGATTTATTTTCCAGACTGCAACATGCTGCTACAAACTTTTAATAAACACAGTCAGATCTATCAAAAAACAAGAACTGGCTGCACACCTGGCTTCAAAGTAAATGTGCCTGACATCTGAACATGGGTCTTGGGTGTATAATAACCGCCCAGTATTTTAAGTATTTAAGTTTCTCTAAAGATGATGTACAGTATCATGTGTGGAATCCCGAACTTACCTCCTTCCACTTACAGCACTTCCTATAATTACTGCATTTTCCAGTCTCTACCCATGGGTAGAAACAATTTCTTTTGCAGTGACCTTTAGCATCCGTACATGCAGCGTTCTCATATGCTGAAAACCTAAATCCTGCATAGGGAAAAGAGTCAAATCAAGTTTCTGTTAAAATCCATGCTATGATTTAGAAAAAAAAGTTGAGAGAATATGATACAACGTTCTAAAGTCTTAGAAAGACTCAGAAACGTTTCTCTCTATTGTTCCTCCATTTCATTATGCTCTTACCAGCAGAGCTTTGTGTCACCAGGAGGAGGACACCAAAGAGAAAGTAGAGAATCTTCATGGCTGAAGGTTGGCTGGGATCTCAATGTTGCTGGAGAGACAAGACCCCAAGTTAGAGAGGAGATATACAGTCCCTATTAATGTGTTTCTGGTGATTGGGTCATGTAGATCTGTTGACATATCATTTTGAACCATTGCACATTCACAAAGTTTGTGCTGCAATTGATTAAAAAGAATGAGTATTATTCATCCAGCTCCACAAACATTCCTGGAGAATTTCAGTACAAGACAGTTAAAAAATTCCTGTCCGTCAGTTGGTGCAAAATATAGTTTTCTGTCTAGCAAACATCAACTGCATGATTGGCAGTCCTTTGAAGACAGGAGGCAGAGAGGAACAGGAAAGAGAGGAAGGGGGAAGGTAAGAAGGAGGGAAGAGAGACAGGAAACAGGAGCCTGCTTGGAGCTGCTTGATTATCAGGGTCATAAGGGGCAGCTGCTGTGGCTCGAACCTAGGAACATTAAATTATTACTAGAGCCACTGGTAATACTCAGGATTGGCAAGAGAAGGCTAATTCTCAGCCCTGCCCGTTCCTTCTGAATCCCCCCTGCTCTTCTAGAGGCTCAGATCTGACCCCCCACCTTGCTAAGAGCCCCAGCAGATATGTTTCTGGCTCCTATTGATTCTTTCTGAGCACTGGCAACCTGGAGCTACGGAAGCACCAGTGGAAATAATGAGGGGTAGGGCCAGTTCCCCAGGATGTCAGTGCCAGAAATTGCTCAAACAGCACTAAGGATGTTCTTGTGTCCTGCAACTATGTCCACCTCCCTCCCTTCCTCTGTCCTCTTTCTTTCCTTCCCGTATATCTCCTCCCCTCTCCTCTCTTCCTTCCTCTCGTCTCTGTCCAGGCAGGACATTGCTTCAGCATTCAGGGGAGCGATGCAGCCCCGTCCTTCTCCCCACCTCCTGCCTCTAGTCGCTAGCATTAAATTCACCAGCACTCCCTTCCTCCAAACACCCAGTGACCTACATGATTTTAATGTCCCCCTGACCAGACAGATCAATGGCAGTGTGCTGTATTAGGAGGTGTCATGTAACATGTTTATGTGCATATCACTAGCCAATTCAATCTTCTGGGTCCAGAAATTAGGGTTTGCACAGCTGCTGGGTCTGCATTGCTCCCAGGAGAACCAATAGGTTGATGTGGGTTTTGTTATCCTTGTCTCTGCCATCATGGAGTGTTCCCTGATCTCAGTAGATTCACTTATATTTCGGCACTTCATTACATCTAATTTCTATGCATTGACATCTACTTCCGCTGTTGCCCAATTGTTTTTGGAACTCTTAATGCACTTTCTCTGCAGACTGGTACTGAGGAGACAAACACACTGTGCTCTCTTCAGGGAAACTGCTGCATCACAAGCACAGTCTGTGCACTTTAGTGGCAATAAACAAAGAAAATCATTGAAAGATGACAGGCAGCTGGGCCGACAGCCACAGGGAACATGGGGGCAAGGAGGGAAAGTCTTGACTTCACATGCCCAGAAGGGACGTAGCCTTGGGAAGAAGGGACGGGTCCGATGGCAGTCAGCCCTTAGCGCTGTCTGGAATGTGGAATTAGGCCTTCCTCACCAGTCCTGAGTGCTGTGTGGCCAGCGCTGCCACAGCATTTCAAACAGGTCCAGAGCTATCAACTCCTGCTGCTCCTACTGCAGCAGTGATAGCACCTAGGAGCTGTGGACTCCTTTGAAAAGCCGCTCCCCTATGCAACTTACCCTTTTGCTCCTCCTTCGATAGGTCTGAATCCAGCCTCTGCCTAGCTGAGGCTGTGAGAAAATAAAAGATAAAAGATGGTAGGGCTGAGACATGAGAAGACCCTAACCCAGGAGGGAAGCCTGGGATCCATTTCTGTCATGTGGTTCAATGTATTTTAGATCCAAGGGAAACCAGAACATTCCAGAGAGACTTAACTACCTCCTTATATATGGCAAGCCTTCAAGGTGTTAATATAGTCCTTTACCTTCTACAAGCCTTAAAAGCAATTACCACGGACTTTCAGCCTCAAATACCATAAAATTTAAAAACCATCAGTATAACACATAACTGTACAAAAGCAATTAATAGAAGATGCAGTTTACTACAAGAAGAAGAAGAATATAATATTTAAGCCTAGTTCACTAACAGCTTACCTATCTTCTGCCTACAGGTGGAGTCAGGAGATTTGTGGTCACTTTGACGCTTATGCTTCGGGATGCTATTCCCTGCTGTGGCCGGTTTGAAGGGTCTTTTACTTCTAGTTACAATGAGCAGAACCTGTGGGTCAGTCCTGCTCACCACTGCCCATCAGTTCTTACTAAGCCCATTTTATAGCAAAGCAGGACATGGTTGTTCTAAAAATAACTACCAATTAATTATGTAGCATGTAATATGCTTATTATTATACCCTTATGGGTACATTCGGCTACTTGGGATATTGCAAAAGTATGTGCTTGCTTACAATTTTTTTATGTCAGTCTCTGCTTTTTGCTTATCAGAAATAAAATGTACCAGTTTACTCCCAGTTTTCTTGGCATGATCACACTGTGCTCTGCTAGATACGCATGACTGTGCCATAACATTCTAGCCCATAAGAGCCCCAACCTTGCCTAATTGCATCAGACTTGAGACAGGCCTGGGTTTTGCTTTGTAAGAGATCAATTCTTTGAGGAAAGCAGATATTGTTGTTCTCCTTAAAACTTGACCATCTAGGCTCCTCTACACAACCTCTTCGATCAGGTTGAGTCTACTGTGGTATAGTGCTTGGTTGCCAACTTACCCACTCTTGAATTTGAGCCGCATGAGACACCATTTGACAGGTGTAGAGACACAGAGACAGCCATCAAAGCATGTATTTTGCCATGCACATTGGTGTGTGGTTTGATTTTTATATCCAAGGGAAACCATGAAACTCCAGAGTAACTTAACCACTTAATTATTTATTGGAAGCTTTAAGCAGTGAATTTAGTTTAAATTTTACAAGCTTTAAAAACAGTTATTATACCATTTAATCCTTAAGTACTGTAAATTAATGGGTAGCAGGTTTAAAGCTAATAAAAGGAAGTTCTTCTTCACACAGTATGTACTCAACATATGGAACTCCTTGCCAGAGGAGGCAGTGAAGGCTCGAACTATAACAGAGTGTAAAGAGAAACTA